TGCAAATGTCACCTCTATGCCACCGTACTTATTGCATTAAATCAGACAATTGTAAGTTCATTATTTGTATACGGCGATTAGGAACATTGTCTTTCTATTTGAATTAAACTCTATTTAAATGTTTTGCAAAAGTAAGAAATTTGAAATAGGTCCTGAAGTGTAAAGTTGATGTATGTGAATGTTTCATGTATTTTAATTTTTATTGACATCTCGCAAAATAATTCGTGTCATTCGCATTAAATCACTTGCAGCCGAAAAAGTTGTATAAAAAGATAATTATTTTGTATATAAAATTAATTTATCAAATAGTGTTAAGTAAACATGAATCTGTCACGGTAACGTATTTGTCAATGGTATTTAATAAATTATCGTGACCGCGCTAAGAGTCATGATTTGAAAGTAATTCTCGACGTGGTTTTAGATGTAAGCAGTGTATGCTTCGAATGTATAATAATGTATTATTTTATTTGACATTGAAAATATGTCAGATAATCATAATCTATTAAAAAAATACCTGCTGCTGTATAATAATTAACAAATACGAATAAATGTTAATCTGTGAACATTTTAATCTTTCGCCTCCTTCAACCATAATAATAAGTATATAGTTAAATTACTGTTTACTTTTATGTCTGTTAATTTACTAAATTTATTTAGACTTTTACTCGACATTTTGGAATAAAGTAGTCCACAACACCTAGTATGAAATTTACTATTTATTTACATGTTTTTTAGCGCAAGTTAGACTGGAACACCGTCTCCGTTTTCTGCACTCTTACTATTGTGTTCGAGAACCTTCGGGAAGGGCCGTGAAGATGCAATCGAGATTCAAGGGCAATCGGCAAAGTTTTCCAACTGTCAATTTGCATAGGAACGAAGCAGATAGCGCTGATCTTCAAAACAAGTACAGGGAGTCTGTAATCTGGTTCCCTGTCATAATTATGGTTCCCATCCAAGATGGCTGCCCATAATGGAATTAGGAAACCCCAAAGCGATTTGGACAGATTTCTGTCCAGTGGAATGCGTCGTTAATAAAATATTCCAAACAACGAAATAATGAACACAAAATTAGAACCAGTCGAGCACCTGTTAGCCTTATCGAATCAGAAAATGTCCTAGCTTAAAGCAGCCAATGAAACCCCGTCTGGGTTTCCACGGTAAAAATAGAACGCCACAACAACAACAATAATGGAACAAGTTTTTTCCCTCGATTCAGAGAAAAATGTTTGAATTTCTTTGACTAAAGTAATACTTTATGTCATAGTTATGATACACAAATTGTGAAAAATTATTAATTTGCCATAAATATCACTGTCAGTGACGGAATAAAACCAAACAGGAAGTAATGTATACACAATGTCACAATCATAGATATACATGTACAATGTAGCTTCAATGTTTTACACCTCATTAGAGATGGTTGATTCTACCACGACACCCCCCCCCCCCCCAAAACATTTTTCACCATTGCCTGGTATAATAGCCTCTATTTCCAAATTTCAGAGGAAAGAATTCAAATAGCAACCAAAAAAATCTGTTTCAACACCTCTAGAAAAATTGAACTGTTTGGACTTGTTTCTTAAAAGAGGTGACAGATCATATGATCATACATATGTTTAAAATCTGAAAAGGCATGAAAATTTTAAAAAAATAAGTTGTTTAAAAATCATTTAGATGTAAGAAAAGCACAGGTCAACTTGTAGAATTTCAATGGCAAGGAAACCATGAAAAAAGTTTGGAATTATAAAAAAAAGCATTATTTCTAAGGAAGCTTGATTTGACTTATTTAATATGAAATAAGGCAAAGCCTATGGACGGGGAAGTCTATTAAAATTGTTCATTTTCCCATTTGGTATTTCATGCACCACTTCCGTTTTCACTCGGAATACTCGATGTTGTTATTGATCCGAAAGTTGCGATTGTTCCATTATCGGAATATCGGCCTATTATCATTGAGTTACATTTAATATAGTGGCACCCTATTAAAACTGAAATTGAAAATTTTATTGACAGTAAAAGAGAATTCTATATATTTTTTAATTGTTTTTTATTTGATTTCCTTTTAAATATACATGTGTAGTCTATAGCTGGACAAGCCAAAATAGATAAATACAGAATCCCTAAGAAAGCCCAACACGGCAAAATTGAAAATGTTGCAGGCTCGGTTTGATTGAGCCTGTTCATGGACGGTATTGGAAAGTGCAAGTTACCGTCCACGCCCCCTAGCACCGGCTTAAGCAGAATTCAACATTTAAACATGAAATAGTAAAATTTTGAATTTAGAAACATCCAAAGATGTGTTCATACGGCGGTGATCATGGAACCTTCAATGTGCCACTTCCGTGCCATTCCATGAAAAGCGGCGTATGGTCCCCAAGTAATAAAAAGCGTGTGCCCTAAACGAGAAAACAATGGGCGGAACTAAATAAAATGGAATTTAGAAAGCCCAAAGGCCTTTGACTTCCCCGTTTAAAAAAAATTCTGTAGACCATCAATTCCCTATTACTTACTCCACATTCTTAATCTATATTTTAAGCTCTTTAACACTATGAACATGTACAAAAAACAATAAATAAATATTCCAAATATGGTATTTCACATGGCCATTCTACCGAAAGTTTACGAGCAATTATTTCTGAAGTTCATTAAAACATTGGTCTAAAGGTAAATTGAAAATGTTGCATTTATTATTCTATTTAATCATTTTACAGATTTGATTTTATAGCCGATATTCTTGCTCCTACTGAGATTTGAACTCAGACTCCTCTTAGATTGCATGAGTTATCAATAAACCAGAGGTGTTGAGGTAATACAAAACCTTTAACGTAAATTCTAAGTCGAAAAAGGGGCATAATTCTGTCAAAATACTTGATACAGTTATCTCCTTCTGTCTACAGGTTTTGGACATGCTGGTGAACAAGTGTGCAAAGTTTCAAAGCCATATGTTAATGGACTTTTTAAACTATAGGAGCCACAATGTTTATAGAAAACTATTAATGTTTCTTAAAATTTACAGAAACAATATTAACATGATAAAATAGATATAATTAAAGTATTTTTGGCTGGTATTTGTTTACTACCTTACTTACTACCTCTTAAAATTAAGTGGAGCAGTGGCCTGGTGTTAAGGTATCTACCTTTCAACCTATGGATCATGGATTCGAGCACTAATCGGGTCACAACATAGTTCTTCATTGGAAGACATCGCATTTACTTTCATTTTTTACAATTTTACATTTATCGGGAATTGCTTTAAAGCGGATTTGACCAATGTTAAAAATAGCTTCAAATCCGTGGTTAGGTCTAAATATATGGACTAGGTTACAACCATATTTCTTCATTATGACACAAGTAATGGTTGGTTCAAGAAAGCAGACTTCTTGCCTATAAGTAACGTATATGTATTCTTCCTTTACCTTGCATTGACGAGACTGATTGAAGTTGACTCTCTGCGCTATTTTCATGATGACTGAAAACCATAGGAAATAACATTTAAATTTTGATAAGGGAAAGAAAAAATGTAAAATGAAATTTCCCTGCAGGAAACTGTCCCTGGAGTTTTGTGCTATATATGGATGTAAAAAAGGAAAAAAAACTGATTTCTTGATGTTTTATAAATTTAAACCATTTTGAAATATAATCTTATTTCATATTATCTTTGAATTATATGGGTAAAATCGTTAATGGGATGGATCTTAATCAATGGCTTTGATACACAGGTGCTTGAAACAAACTTTTTAAAGTTTTATATGGGCTATATACTATAATAAGATATAAGACCTCCAACAGAACAAAAATATCATGCTGAACAAACAAGAACACTGCTGCAAGAAACGACCAGATGACGTATATCTCTTTTTGGTCGACATTCGACAGGATCAATCCAAGCGTCGGGGGCCTTATATCCTAATACATATATAGACCGATTATGAAAAATATTTGATTATGTGACTAGCGCCTGTGCTTTGATATCGTTGAATTATTCCCAACATATGCTAAAACAAACAGTCCTCTCATGTATGCATTATTATGCCTTTACTAATTTAACATATTACGGTTTTGAAAATAATTTTCGCAAATATAACCTCTCGAAAAAGTAAAATAACAGAAATATTACTTATTTTCTGTATGCTCTTCAGCCACCGGCAGCCATATTTCTTTACATATATCGATTAACAAATGAAAAAACTGAATTCACTGGAGGTTTCCTGTCGTACTTAAGTGCGCAGATGACCAGTCTAAGGGAATCTGATCTTACTGATTCCCGGTGTGCTTAAAGACAATAGAATTGAGCCTAAATAATCTCCAATGAAGAGCCGACAAATTTATTACCCATAATTTTGCTGTACTTCAAAAAAATATTCAAACCATCATTTTTTCGTTTTTGAAGAAACTTGTGTTACCGTTATGCTCGCTTCGAATTCGCTATTACATATATACGGTGGCATATTTCTGCCAACAGTAAACCATATAATTATCGCGTTAACTGTCTGACTAACATATATATCAGACTAACTAAATACATTTTCTGTTAGATAGATAAATAACAAATAAGAATCTAACTTCCAAAAATACCAAAAGTTCCCTAATGGAACTTTTGTGTAGTAACGCTTCCCCTTTAATTTCAAGAACTGCATAGATCTTTTTTATTTTTATTATTTTATTGATTTTTTTTCATTTTTTCCAGTGTGCTATTGAACATATTTTGAAACTTAGTATCTTCGACAAACGCGGTATTGCCTATGAACGACTACTACAATACTTCTATACACAAATCGAGCATGCGAGAGAAAATGCTACATCCGGTCAGTTTAGCATTGCAAAAAGGTGAATGTCATATTTAAATTTTACTGGATAAGAAAAGGTTATAATTAAGCCATTGTAAGAAAATTGTAAGAAACAACATTTATAATTCGCGTTATGTCGCAAATCTGTTCTTTTCCCCCAGGTACACCATATAGTAGAACTTGATAGACATTAGAGTATATGTTATATATAAACGTGTATGTCAGTGGTTAAATCAGTTTGGGATAAATTATAGAACTTGGTGTTACAAAAAAAGCGCAAAATGAACTAAGAAAATGTCTCAATTTCTTAGTTTAAGTATTGGACTTTTATTATCATTATTTTGTCAGGTAACATGTGCAGAGCCGGAATTAAGTGCAAAAGTAGTGTATCAACTGCTGTCAATGCGAATAGACAATGTTGTTCGTGAAAACAATAATTTAAAGTCTGAACTTAAGGAAACTAAGGCAGATGTTGGTAGACTCGAGAACAAAATCGAAAGTATGGAAGTGAATATCTCACTTATGGCAAGTAAAGCGGCAAGAATTGAAGACGAAAATTCAAAAACTCTGTTAAGTGAAAAGATCCATGCTTTGGAACAATTATCTGCGTCTCGACTTCAAAAGAAATTTAAGACAGAAGCAATAGTTTTGCGGAAAATGCTAGTTAGCGAGAAGTCACAAATGAAAGACAAATTAATGGCATTTGAACAAAAGTTCAAAAGTTTCCAATCGGAACTAGTAGATGATATAACTATAGTAAATACCACAGTTGACAGTTTAGAAAATTCAATTTCCGAACAAAACATAGCAGCGATCACTATGCTAGTAGCAGTAGAAAACAAACTCCAAAGTCAATTAAATGAAACAGACCTTCTCATGCAAGAAATGAATAAAGATTTAGAGAATAGACTAATAGAATCGGACGCTAGAATGAAAGACAGGAACATGAAATTAGCTGAAAATATCAATGAAGTTGACCAGCGTCTAATCGCTGCCAAGTCAAATTTGCAAAGTACATACAATGGTCTAAACAACCGGCTTAATAGCGCAGAGAGTCAACTTCAATCAGTCTCGTCAATGCAAGGTAAAGGAAGAATACATTTCTTTTTTATACTTACATACTATTTGGTGCCAATAAAGTAATTTCGAATTAAATTTTCGCGAAACATATCTTCTGCATAAGTGTTGGTTAACTGAATGTTGTATGTCTACTAGTATTATTTGTCATTAGTTCTGTTTGTAACCAGAGTAACAGTGTTAACCATTAAACAATTCTGATATTTCAGCTTCATACATTACATTATGAAATAACACTGTTGTATAAGTCAATGCTGTTGATGCTTCCTCAAAAAAAATTTTTTTGTCCTATTTATTTTTTACTGACATGAAAATTACCTACAAACTCAAAATTGAAAAAAAGAAAATATATTCTACACAAGTTTTCAACGAAATGCGTATAAAATAAATTAAGATTGCTCGTATTCCTGTAAAAGATATCTGAGAATGATAATACTAATAAGCTGATAAGTTTGATATACCGATGAGTTTGATATACATGTGGTAGTAATATATAAGAAACATGTAAATATATACTTTTATTGATTATTGTAATTATTACAGACAGACAGGAAGACACATTTTCTAATCAAATCAGTACTTTAAGCAGCCGAATCTCTGTAGAAGAAGGTAAGTCCTAGGAACACAAGTGTTTATGTTTTTAAATGGCATTATGCGTTCTTTTGAAGTCTTTATTTTAACATGACATCTTCATGTATAAGCGGTCCATATTTAAATATGCCTTACATCGTACATATGTTTTAATACAAAAGACAAATTTCACTAATTTGAATCCGAATATGCTTGTTCAAGCATAGGAAATACTGCAATATTAAATTTTATGAAATATGTTCTATTTTAAATTTTGAGGTCGGGTTAAAGTTATTTTTTTTTATTTGTTTAACATTGAACAAATATATATTCTTAGACATTTAAAACAATGGATTTTGACATCTAAACTTTTATATTATAGTTCTAGCATAAACGAAAAAAAACGTGCTCCACACAGCGGTAAAGTGGGCTGCTTTGTTTATTTGCAGTTACACATTATACTTGATTATATCTAATAATATAATTACAAGAAAAAATCATTCATTATTTAAAAACATTTTATACTTTTTGTATATAATTATATAATAACTAAACCAACTTTTCCTTTTTCTCTTCATGCTCAATAAAAAATTATTTTATTATTTCTCAGCCAGAAAGGTTGCATTTTCAGCTAGACTTACGAAGAAACAAAGCTATTATGTCAAAAACGAAAGAATAGTGTTTGATGAAGTTTTTTATAATCACGGCGGAGGATACAGCTCCTCAACGGGGATATTTACAGCGCCAAAATCAGGAACGTATTTGTTTACTTATAATATACAATCATCAGTTTTAGGCGACGCACATGTTGTTTTGAAAGTGAATTGGTTGACCAGAACTAGCGTCGTTGTAGACAAAGGTGCAGATAATAATAGCGGAAACTCAGGGATAGGTTACGTTCGGAAAGGTGAAAAGGTTTGGCTAGCGACTGCTAGCTCAGATAGTGTGTTTTTTATTTCGCCTTACAGGACAACCTTTAATGGCATCTTGATTGATTAAAATAAAGTACCATGAATTGCCATATAAAAAGCATGATCAAATGTAATATGATTATATATTCCTTCTGACTAAAGTTCATTTCCTCTTTTGTTTTATTTTAAGCATAGCAGGAGCTGATTTTAATCACATTGTTATGATAGATTTGCAATGCCGTCTCGGAAATTGTTTAATTATTTGATTTTATTTGATTTGATGTTAATCCCTTTGAAAACCAAATTGTTGTTCCATTTAGATGCAAATAAACATACAAATATTAGTTTCGGCCGTCTTTCGTGTTAGCAAAGTAATTCATATTCTTATAAGTATTGGTTCACGCAGATTTAATTTAAATTAGGGGATGAAATTACATTTATCAAAGGAAATCGATCAATTCCTCAAAATTCTAATACATCTCATTCATTTTATCAGCATGAACTTGTCATTTTATAATGTCCCCATTAATTAGCCATACTCGCACCGTTTAAAGATTTAAAACTTAATTTTAACCACTATGGTAAGTGTTTGTAAAACCAACTTTAATTCCATTTATCTGTTGCACGACTGCATCACGCCAGTTTTTTCTCATTAATGTTGACTTAGAAACACTAATCTATACTTATCCAGAATATTGTAAATAAAAAATAAGTCAAATATATTGCCGAGTTCATACAATTATTATTCTAATTAATTGTTTATTAAAGTTTTGTATTATTCAAATAAAAATCGGTTGTTCCTTTCATGAATTTTTCTTTTTGTTGTATAAATGACGAAAATATTTAAATAAATCTTGGCAGCTTTATATTAACTATATCTTCTGTTAAGAAGGTGTGACTTATATTCAGCACAATTTGCCAACTCCCCTTCATATTTTTAAGAAATCAATAACATGTATGTACCTACTTTAAAAGCATTAGTTTCGATTTCGTTAAAGCTTTGTAAAGGAGGAATGCTTATAATCATTGTAAGGATATACAAGTAGTTGTCATTTTTTCTTTTACTTTTTGTAGATAAAAGATAGATAAATAAAAGGACATGTGTGAATTAATTCTTTACCATAGAATGAAAAATTTAATCATATCAATTACATATATATGATTATCCAAGGAAATCGATCAATTTAGATTCCACTTTATATGATTTTTGTTTCTGTTATCATATATTTGTCTATGTTATTGCATAATATTTAAATTGTATTACAATTGTATTGTTACTCTGTAAATACCGTCATCTTTGGAGGGAATAAAAGTATATATCTATCTCTATTTATGTACAACTATTGTTCATGCGTTTTGTATGCTTTTATTGATTTGCATTTTTTTAGCGCTACATTTAATTAAAATTTGACATTTTCACATACCTTGTCTTTGTTTTCATTTGCTTATTTATATGGTAGGTAGCAATATACCTCACGTGATTTATTTATGATATATTCTTATGTGACGTCAGAGAGTGTTGACTTAAGGATAAAGTACACTTATTACTTTTACCAATTACTAATACTTTTACACAAGTACTAAAGGCTGGACGTTGAAGAAAGTAGCAGTTTGCATTAACTGGTCCTATAAAAATGAATCTGGAAAAAAATTGTATAAGATTATGTTCCCATCCGTCAAACAATCACACTCGGAATATATAAATATCTAGAAAAGTGATCCCTCGGAAGCATTTAAAACAGGAAATTGCTGACTCGCTTTGATTGAGTCTGTACATGAGAGATAATGAAAAAGTGCAACAACCCTTACGCCGCCCTAGCCCTGGTACTCAATTTTCAACACTTGAAAGTGCTTGAGTCAATGATCCCGAAGGCCGCTTTATTTCACTAGAAAAGGATATTTCAACAACGAACAATTATTGACAGTGCTTAAAATAACCATTAAGTTTGTGCCGGTCACAAATTAAACTTTTTTTCTACAAAATACATTCAAAGTTTTGTAGCAGTTGTAAACAAGGGGCATTACTCGGTAAATAGAGAATTTTCGATCACCCACAAATTCATGCGAGATTTCCCTCTAATAAATTAAAAACATTCCTGAAACTATACTGCATTGCATAGCTTATTCAATCCACAATTGATAAACACTAACTCTATTCTGATTCCCTTAGCCCACTTTAAGAAAATTATTTCAAACCGTTAACTTCTGTCACAAAATTGGATGTCGCAACACCAAATCTACGGATAAAATGTCAATTTTAAAAGATGGAGGTACAAATAAACGCATACAAACAATACCGCAACATAGTTTCTATTACATACCTGCGCAAATAGTCGTGAAACGCTCTACATTCGTCTGTGTCGAACGAATTCTTCAAATCAGTGCAGAAATCTGCTTCGGCGAAGACATTTTGGAAACTCTGGTCACGTGATAAAACCGGTGTATTGAGACCTTTCATTGGTTCTCTATTTATCGAGTAATGCCCCTTGTCTATGTTTATATACATATTATAAGGTTTTGACTGAAATCTCATTTTAAGGTCACCATCAAGCAGTATATACAATCCAAACAGTGTGCGTGCCACCTATCAGTTTCGAGTACACTATGAAAAGCAAGATCACTTAAGAAGGGCGACGTTCAATGAATGCATCTCCAATCTAAAAGAGCACTTGCCCGTTAAACACGCGACGATATGGTTCCGAAATGTTCGAATGAAAATTACAGGAAATCAAGTTAGTAAGAGCATTTAGCAAGGGGAAATCCTTTTTGTATGATTTTATTTTATCTATAAAAGCAAATACAACCAAGATTTACGGTACACCTTTACTGAGAACCGTGAACACATATTTTCGAGGCTTCTTCATAGTCTAGCGGTTGGGTTACTCGGTGATTTGGAATTACGTGCACTTCATCAATGTTGTTTTGAGTATCCAATTTAAAATCCCACACAGCTTTGAATTCTGCAAAGTGTAGAGGCAATCCAGCAAGTCTACGGCTAATCATTTTAACAGCTTAACTCACACACTCAGTATCGTTAGAATGAGATAGACTTAAGGTCTTTTCCAACCAATCGAATGTTTGAAAGTAACCATATGAGCCGCGTCATGACAAAACCAACGTAATGCGTTTGCGACCAGCATGGATCCAGACCAGCCTGCGCATCCGCGCAGTCTGATCAGGATCCATGCTGTTCGCTTACAAACCCTATTACAAGTAGAGAAACTGATAGCGAACTATTGTGCATTCCAATGCATTTGGGGACTTTACGTTGCAGTCAAACACTTTCATGTGTGTCTCTATTAGCTGAACATACTTAGCATCAAATGATCAATAAAACATGTCAAATTAATGTAAATTAGTCTGTGCCTCTTTCGGCCTAGGGTAAACGCAAATACATTTATCTGTCTAAAGCTTATCAAGGGAAACGTTTATCAGCTTTTGAGATCGAAGAGATCAGAAAACTTTGATTTTTTTAATTGTATTTAAGCTCATTTTTCGGTAAAATATCTTAAGTGAATTCAAGGAACAATGCCAACAAAGCTTGAGTTTCGAGTAAACTATGAAAAGCAAGATCCCAACGTAAGTGCGGCATTAAATGAATGCATCATATAGAAACAGCACTTTCCCGTTTTACTGTAATAAAATGTCCGGATGAAAACTACACGAAATGAATTTAGTGAGAGCATGAGTCCATGGCTATATTGTTAATGAAGGTGAGTCGGAATAACTTCATTGCTTTTGGTTTAAATATTCAATTCCAAAAAGCTAACTTTGAGGAAGCTATTTAGCCAGTTTTAGAAAAAATCTGTTTAACAGCTTAACTCGCACGCTTACTCTTGTTAGACTGATAAGGACCTGAGGTCTTTCCCAACCAATAAAATGCTTGAAAGTAACCATATATCGTCCATGTATCAATGTAAGTTAAGAACCAAAAATAAATCAAACCATATGTATTTTATTATGAAGTATAGTTGTGTAATTTCACCTATTTATAGCTTCTATCAGGTTCGAAAGCAACCCGTATTTATTGATGTCGTACCCCTAACTGATACAGAAAACGTTAGCAAAGAAGTGTTAAACATTTATTGAATTCGTAAAGATATGATAGCATAAGATCTTAACCAGTTATGAATGATTTAAAGCAAGAAAACAGATTACTGTATTCCTAGAAATGTTCGCGGATACAATATTTCGCGTTTTTACCAACGTCGGCATTTTCGCGGAGACAAACTTTCGCGGAAATGTAGTAACCGCGAATTCCGCGAATGTTTAGTCGCTACGGCCTAAATTACAGTTTTTGGAGGCTACGTTTTTTATGCATGACCTTGCCTGTTGGGTGCTTTTAATTAATTTTTTTCTTAGACAAGTCGCGGCCTAAAGCGCAACGTTACTCGATACATTGTTCATCTATTGACTATCGACAAGGTCGTTGTTCCGTGAACAAATTCAATTTCCATAACCTTTTTCATTATGTTATTAAGTTATGATTTAGTCAGATCCCGTTAGCTTTGATTCTCATTTGAATCATAACTGACTTTATCTTCAAAATGTCGATACGTATTTTTTACACATTTTTTCACACATTACGGACGATATAGCTTTCCATTATAACAACTGTTTATCAATGTAGCCCTTGATCGCTATTGTACTTTTTTAACAAAGGATTACACCTACTCCAAGCAAATAAAATCCAAGTCATTCAATGTTCGCAAACTGTAAATGCGTTGTCAAACGCCGTGACTAGCAAATAACGCCAATAATCATGTTAATTACTAATAATTGATTTTTTTCTTTTTCAACGTGCAAACTAGTATAAATAACATACATAAATAATTCTTTACACATTTCTATAACACCTGTGTTTATATGTTGTTTTGTGTAAGTAGATTATAATATATATTCTGCACTTTTTATGATATATTTGGTTGAAGCTAGAAATGTTCGCGGATTTGTTATAAGTGACATATTCGCGGCTATAAAGATTCGCACTTCTATTGTCCTTGAGTTAATAGTGGCAACCAGAACAGTACGTATAATATATAAATGCACATGGCACTCGTATTGACAAAAACTTTGTTGTACCATTCAAAACGTAATTTTATAAGAAAAAAATTACGTTAAAGAAAATGCCTCAACTTGGGCAATGCATTGTATTTTGATTATCATGGATTTGTAAAACTAGAGGGACAAAGACGGAGTTTAGTGCTAAATTAGTGTAAGAACTGTTGTCAATCCGAATATATACAATGTGGTTCATGAACATTAAATTCTGAGATCTAAGTAAACAGAAAATTGGGCAGTTATTGATAAACTCGAGAAAAACAATCGATATTACTGATGTTAATGTTTCAAGAATAAGGAGTAAAACAGCAACATATGATAACAAAATTTCAAGGTCTCTTTTAAATGAAAGATTCTAAGCCATTGAAGTTTTATTTGCGTCTCGACTTCAAAAGAAATGTAAGGCAGAAAAATGTTATTGCAGAAAATTTTAATGAGAAGTCACTCATGAAGGAAACAATCGGATATTCGAACAAAGTAAAAGTCTTCCAATCGGAACTTAAATATATCAAATGAAATCAATTTTTCTGATCAGTTATTGAAAAGTATGCAATGTACATATGCAAAAAATGAATATAGATTTCGAAAATGAATTAACTGATTGGAACGCAAGAATGACACAAGGCGACGTGGAATTAGCTGAATAATAAAGGACATTGGTCTGTGTCTGACCGCTGCCAAGACGAATCTTAACAACCAAGAATAAGATTCGGTCAATCTCAACAAAGCAAGGAATAAAAAGTTTCATCATTAAGAGCATAATTATCTATTCTTTTAATATTTTCTTTTAAATTATATGGTTAAAAGACTTTTTCTATAATAATTACTTCTTTGTGAGGATCAATGTTAAATGCTATATGATTTAACCAGTTTTTCTATGGCGACAAAAGCATGACATTGCAAAAGGAACTCTAATCCAAACGAAAAAGAGCATAAAATTGTAAATATATTATATTATTGATTAGAGACATGTTGCCGTTGGTCCCAAAATGCAAATACAAATTCAGGATTTTAAATGGCGGCACAGTAGTTAACGAATGATGAACTCTATAAAATTGAACTATAAACCTGAAAATCCTGATTTGATTGTAATATCTTCTTTCTGAACAAAGACCTTTTGGCATCATCCAAGTAGACGACTATGACAGCTTTTGGATATATTGTAACATTTGACACATGTTAGGCGCAATAAGCAGCTTTTATAGTGTTTAATCAAATAATAACTGTAAATATTTAAATCAATAAATTCCGAATCAACAAAAAATATTACCATATTCAGAAGAAGTTGTTTTACGATATACAAACAGTTTTTAACATACGTAGGTATTGAATTAAACGAGAAGTTATCAAGAAGTGTCCCAT